CGTAAATATGTATTACGTTTATTTTTTTAAAAGCACAAAAAACTATAGACAAAAATGCAGGTCATTGAACTTTAATTATTTATTTACAGACTTTAGATACAGTCTCACGCATATTTATGATTTTTTTTCTTTAACAAACTTGAATGAAAATGATCTAAATTTTTAAGGTGTTGAAATGCAATATAATCCTTTATAGCAAAAACTTTTAGATCGGTAATTATTTTTAAGGCTTCATTATACCTGTTAAATGCGCTAGGTTCCCCACTATCATATTCTTGATCGCTGACTTCTTCCGGTTCAGGTTCTTCCATGTTTTTAATTGCATCTCCAATGTTCAAACTAGTCTCCTCAGTCGCTCTAATATTGTCGATTCCAAAATATGTAGTTTCCAAGAGTTGTTTTTTCTTGTTGTTGTTTTTTTTGCATTACCATATTAGGACAAAATAAAATTGTAAGCCTCTCCTTGGAAAGCTTTCCACCACTACATTTTTCGGATTTCAAAGCAAGTGTTTTGTTAGGGAAGACTCGAAAGAAAAGGCCAGTGTGATCGGCATTGTAAATATCCTGTGGATGATATCCGAGGAGTAGTATGGGCCACTTATCTTTAAACTGACTCACATCTGCTGATTCTCCGGATACTTAAAAGCTTTAAAATTTCAAACATTAAGTTTTTCGGCTATTTCTCGAGGCTTGGAATTTACTAAGTGCCCCGATACTGCAACCAAGAAAACTAGTCAAAACACACTTTTCCCGACTCCCACTGTACACGAATGCTGTCATTATTTTTCACAATTTTTCGAGTTTTCCCGATTTTAAATTTTTCGGCAAGCTTGCGCACTGACAAATTTTCTTTTTCTGAAACGCTAAGAATTTCCATTTTTTCTCGCAAAGCAAGAAGTTTTTTTAGTAGATGTCATTTTAAAAATTGTGGAATCCACTTATGGCCTTTGTTTGCAAAATAAAACTGTAATTCACGGCGTAATGAATAATACGATATGATATGAATTAGGAAAAAGGTAATTCCCCGATATTTTAGCATTGCGTTATTCCGTTATTGGAGGTTCACGTCCGCTTAAGAGGTTTTTGTTTTTAAGTCAGGACAGTGTTGTCCACATCTGATTAATGGAGTGTCCGGTTAAAAGAGTTTTTTTTACAGATAAAAGGGTAGGCAAATATTTCGTTTCAAAAAACATGTCCATTTAAAGAGGAGTGTCTGCCTAATAGAGGTGCCCGTATTAAGAATTTTCACTGTATACCAATTTTTATAATATTTTTATAATATAGGGTGTTTAATTTTGATTTTTTTTTGTTGGATAGATCTCTCAAAAACGCACTAAAACCTTATGTTTCTTATTACATCAACCTGAAGTTATGGCTAACAAATATCGAGAAGGGCTATTAGGGATTTTTGGTTCAATTTTAATAATTCTTTTTTGTTGGATAGATTTCACTGAAAGATAATAACGATTTTGTTAAATGTGATTAGAGAGGATTAGATATGAAATAAACAGACTTTATAACGCTGTATATATTTTAATTCAAAAGGATTTTTAATTCTCATCTAGTAGTATAAATATTAGAAATATCAAAATTACATCTTTCGAATACTAAGATTTATTAATGCTGTTGTTTTAAGATGATACAAAAAAAATAAATGTCCCTTAAAAGGAATTTTTTATCATTGTTTTTGAAATTTGTTTAATCAAAATTTGTAAGACCTTAAAATCACATACAAAATAATCGTTATTTTCAAGTTTTACAATATTTCTTTTTTTAAAACATTAAAAACTTTGGTCATTCGTTTAGTTACTTTTTTATCATTGTTTTTGAAATTTGTTTAATCAAAATTTGTAAGACCTTAAAATCACATACAAAATAATCGTTATTTTCAAGTTTTACAATATTTCTTTTTTTAAAACATTAAAAACTTTGGTCATTCGTTTAGTTACTTTTAACGCGAATCTGTTGTCATTTTCAATCTGAAAAACTCTGTAAAAGTACTTCTCGATTTTCCGCTTCAAAAAGTGTGTCATTTAGCCATGATTTTAGTCGATGCTATATGAAAAGAAAACGTTTCATTTCTATATCCACTAAAAAAAAACTATCATAATTGAGCCACATTTTACAGGAGTAGTGCTTAAGCGAACTTGGAAATTAGTATAGTTAAATTTTATGTAGTCCTGGATAAGAATTCGTTGATTGACACTTTATTCAAAGAAATCCCTAATAGCCCGATATTCGTTATCAAAAATTACTTCCAGTTAGCCAGGACTTACGGTTGATATAATAACAAACATAAGGTTTTAATGCGTTTTTGAGCAGTCTCTCCGACAACAAAAAAATAATCAAAATCAAATATTTTGCAACCTTATAAATTGGGTTCTAATTCCTTAGAAATTTATTTTTTAAACATCCCTAATAATACTTGTCTCTTCTCTCTTTTTTGTAAGCAAAACAAGATTGTACTTGAATAATATATTGATACATTTGGTATTTCGTCTATTAATGTCCCAAACAGATTACCTTACCAAGTTACCTCAATGAGAGAACATTGTTGCAAGCATAATAATATTGTTATATATTAGCTTTTCGTATGGCATTAAACTTTTCTAAAAATTTTCTGTAGTGGTGAAATTTAGTTGACTAAGTTTCCTTTCAATAGGAGAATGACTTGTTTGTTTCTTTTAGCCTGTTTTAGCAAGTCATATTGCCGCGATAGATAATTATCTGTTTACTGATCTTATGCTCCGTTTTGATTGTATAAGTAAAGTTAGGCTAGATGATAAAGTAATATTATCATTATAGGGAACATATTCGCCGAAATATTTCAAAATAAAAACTAGATACATTGCTAATTTATTTAAAAACATTGATTCAATAGTATATTATGCAACAAGTGCGGTAAGCGGCATTTGACTCACATGTTTATTTAACGCGAGCGGAGCGAGTGTTTCATAAACGAGTGACTCAAAACGTTTACCAAACGTGTGGAAATAAAATTAATCCAAATTTAATTTTTTCAATGATCTAACTTAATCAACAACTATTCTTTAAGAGTTCCAAATTTTCACCCCCGAGATTCATTATGTATATAATAGGTAGTAAGTTACAAGTTTGGATTTTCCGGACTAGTATAGAATTACAGCCTGATATATTTTTTTGAAAGCGTTTCTTTATTTTTCTAAATCAATTCGGTACAGTACAATTCTCTGAGCAGTGCTTAATCGATTTGGACTGGAGAATACTTGAATTTGTTTATCACTTATTTATAAAAATATCTAAGTATATTTCAACTGTATAAACAGTTTTTAATGTTTTTTTCCTTTTCTGGACTGTGATTGTATGTCTTCGTAGCTAGTAGGAGGGGTATTAATAAATCCTATATTAATTTTATTTGCTTAAACTCCAACAAATTTGGACAAAAGAAGAAATTATCCAAAATCTTCAAAGAGGATGCAAATTACAGGTATTAACAATGACAACGCACAACAAAACGACAACTTCAACAAAAGGCGACACGTACGCAAGAATGACTGAATTTTCTTTCCATTGCGCCTGCGCACAAGAACCAGTTTGTTTTTGTTATTTAATAGAAAATCTTGCTACTCTTGCTACCACAGAAAGACTCTAACAATTTTTTTTCCATTTTAGGCCCTAGCTACTCACTTAGCGCTAGGGCCTAGCTCTAAGTGCTTTACTAACTCGTCCCGCAAATTGTTTATTAAATGTAGATTGATACTATTTTTGGAATAGATAAAAATAAATTCCTTTCTAGAAAGGAACGATGATAATTTCTATCGATCGAACAATTATATAAAGTGTCTGCAATATAAAGTGTGCACAAATTCTTAGCAAACAATTCCTGGCCTCGACGGACTTGACTTTACCTTTTAATGCTTTAAACGCATTAGTTACACGTTAGGGAACGATTCACACTGCACTTTATGTAATGATTATAATTTTTTCTCAGTGCGTTATTTTATTTTATGCCAAGCAAATGGTTTTCCGAAAACTTTTAAGCGAGATATTTCGTTTTTTATTGTTGAGCGACATACCGGAACATTTAAATTATATGAAAGCAGAAACTTATTTTATTTGTCACATAATCTACACTGCGCAATTTTGATATATCAAAAAGGATACGAACGCACGCAAAAGCGAGCCACATAATCAAAAATGTCCACCAATTATCCAATTACTATCTACCGGTGCGGTTTCAAATTTGCTCTTTCATATATACGTTTTCAATTTGTTCCGGGTATTTGAAAATTTGGAATTGCAAATCGTGTTTATATTAACAATTGGCATAAGTAGGTGTGTTCACGCTCGGGAAGTCCAACAACATACCGGAGGAATTTATTTTGCGTTGAACAAATAATAACACTGGACAAAAAAGAGCTTAGCCTAATAAAAGACAAATGGTTAGTCGGGTTGGTGTAAAGTTTCCATTTTCCAAAACCACGAAATGTATACGGTGATTTATTAATACACAGCCCAATTGAAAGTTGGTACATCTAGTGCACTTTAAAAATGCAATGTTTAAGGCTATGAAGCACGTTTAAATGTCTACGGGGTGTCGCACTTTTGGAGGTGGTACTCAATTTAAGCCTTCTTGTTACAAGTAAATTGGTTTTACAAAAAATAATGTACAAATTGAACAATGAATCGAAATAATTATTTATTAGAAAGCAGATGTATCGATAAATGTTGTCTCAACTATTGCATTTTTAAAGTGTGCTTTCAAAAAGGTAGGTGAAATATGCAAAAAACGCACAAAATATTTAGGTTCTCCCCTCTTTCTCAATATGTCCGTTCTGGTGTGACTATTGAGTCTCTCTATCTTGATTTTGAGAAAACTTTTAAAGTACAGTTCGGTCTAGTGGATTTGAGAAGGGATGCTAGTGGTTATTTCATTTTTCTTTTTTTCTATTCTATTAATCTTATACGATCATTACTACTTTCTACTGCTTTGCTTACGTGCTTCTTTACTTAATTTTCAGATAACTCCCGCTCTACTACAGCGGAGACTTCTACTGCCGCAACGTCGACCACTTCTGGTATGGAATATAATAATTATTATTATTTCTCTTCGTTTACATTTAAAAGAGATATTTTACTCGCTCTCGCTATAGATTGTTAATTCTATTTAACATTCGTTATCTGTGCTTTGCTTGATTAACCATGCTCAAAACGCGCTTCACCGAAAACGTTTCGAATTCAATCAATTGGCCGAATCAATGTTTAAAAAAAATCATTAATTACAATGAATTTCGATTTTACTACAGAATTTCCAGCAATTTTTGGAGATTAATTTTAAATGTTGACTTAAATCTGTCTGCCACACAGATCTTTTTCTTTAGTACCTGCGTGCGTGAAATATTACCCTGGCAATTTTACCAAAGCAATTATTTATGTTTAACGCATTTGTTACAGGTTTATCACTGTTATTACGTAAACAATCAAACAGAAAATAAATTGTTAAGTGTTATTGCTTAGTAAAAATGTTTATGTGTGTGTATTTTTTTCGTGACGCCACCGTCGTCGCTCACGTAATCATTTCGTAGTAAATTTTATTTACCTACTTTAGTATTGATACGTACGCAAGCCGTCATGTTTTTTTAGCGTACGTACGTACGTGCGAAAATGTGATACCGTTCTCATAACGACATTTTTTTTGGAGTATATTTTTAATAAAATGTAATCAAGGAAGAGTCAAATTGAAACTCATACACTAGGGAATAGAAAAAACAAAAAAAAAAAACATTTTGGAGTGGATAGTAAAAAAAAATAATTTTAATATTTTATTTGGCATAGATAATAATTACAATATTTTTCAAAAAAACTTCCACAGGCTACTGTAATGCTTTTTACAAAACTTCTGGATTCCTCCTGCGTCGGTTTTACTGAGTCGAACTTGCTGGCGGGAACATATTTTTCTTATAACGGTCAAATTTTTGAACAAACGTCGGAGACAGAATGGGTTCTCCACTATCACCAGTCTTCGCGAATACATTTATGGCCTTTGAGAAGAAACCCCTAAACACCTTTCATCTAAAACCAAAATTATGGAAACGCTACGTCGATGATGCTTTTGTTATTTGGCCTCATGGTCAAGAAACCCTAGTAGATTTTCCTATACATTTCAACTCTGTACACCCTAACATACGTTTTACCATTAAGTTGAAAACTAATAATAACCTTCTATTCTTAGATATTCTTATCAATAAAAAATCAGACCTAACATTGGGTCATTGTGTTTACAGAAAACGTACGCACATAGACCGATACCCTAATGCATGGTCTACAGAGCCGTAAAACTATATAAGCCCGAGTCACTGAACCCTGAACAATTTATTTCTGCTCTTCTCTCTAATAATTTCCACATTAAAGATATTAAGCGTTCCATCAAAAAATACACGTCAACACAACCTTCCAATATCAACGAAGCCGAAAGCAATCCTACACTGGTCCTTCCTTACATTCAAAACATCACTGACAACATATCAAAAATTCTAAAGAAGCATAACGTCAAAACCAGATTTACCACTTGTCCAACAATCTCTCAACATCTGCGGTCCGTCAAAGACAAAATCTCATTTGAGACGAAAGGAATGTACAGCATTCCATGCATATGCGGCAAAGAATACATTGGAGAGACCGGACAAAAAATATCAACTAGGCACAAAGAACACAAAAGAGTCTTACGACTAAGACAAATAAAGTCATCCGCTGTTGCCGAACACACTCATGAAACCGGGATAAAATTTTATTTGATAAAACTAAAATTTTTGCATGTAATCAGTTCTTCTACCAACGAAAAATCCGACAATCTATAGAAATCTATAAACAACCTAAGAATCTTAACCGCAACTCAGGTCTCTACCTGTCACCAATATGGAAATCAGTCATCCCATACGGTGTTTATGTATGTTTTTGTTTAGCTCCGCCCCCTCAAACAATATGTAAGCAAGTATAGAGTAAAATACGAGCCAGTTTCAAAGTTCTGAAGAAGCCAACAGAATGATTGGCGAAACGTCAGCAAGTTCGACTCAGCAAAAACTGACGCAGGAGGAATCCCGAAGTTTTGTAAAAAGTAACATTATTCATAAAAAATGAATTTCAACGATTTCAATTACGTTGATACCGAGCGAGCAGGGTAGTGTTCCCGTTACCTTAGGGCAGTTGTTTTGGTTTAAAATGTTACCGTTAAATTTCTCGCAGGAAGTTTTTGGTTAGGTCGCTGCCATATTTTTAAGATTAAATTTACTCTCATCACAAAATTCACATTTGCAAAGTTCATTCTTTTTTTTTCTAGCATTTCTGCCGTAATAATTATTTTTTCGCAAAACTATTAAAATGGTTTCTGGATTAACTGGTTTGCCAAAAATGTCTATTTCTGCCTACTTCGGAGCACTTAATTTAAGTGTTCCTTCTATTTTCGCATTCATTAAATATTTTATGCAGGCTTGGTTTATTTAAAATTGTTTTTTCTTTCTATGACGATTTACTACACCACTTTACCAATATCTCGCAGAAACCTTCCATTATTGCAATGAAAAATAATCAATTTTGGCTCTTCCAACTGATGTATGACTTCAAATATTTTTGCATCACTTTTTTTTTGGTATTTAAATGACAATAATGAAGCAAAATAAATGCTTATCCCTTTTATTACCAAATTATCCGCTGTTTAATTTGATTTTTTTTATTAATAATTTTTTATTTTTTTCATTTATGAACTTGTGTATCTTTCCTTCTTATACTAAATAATATATTAAAATAATTTGTTGTTCCACATTCTCAGTATAAATCATCAATTATAACGAGTTTGTAATTGACTTACTCTATATATTTAAAAAAAATTTAAGTTTTTTCTTTATATATATATATATAATATATATATATATATATATATATATATATATATATATATATTATATATATATATATATATATATATATATATATAATATATATATATATATATGTATATATGTATATGTATATATGTATATGTATATATGTATATGTATATATGTATATGTATATATGTATATGTATATATGTATATGTATATATGTATATGTATATATGTATATGTATATATGTATATGTATATATGTATATGTATATATGTATATGTATATATGTATATGTATATATGTATATGTATATATGTATATGTATATATGTATATGTATATATGTATATGTATATATGTATATGTATATATGTATATGTATATATGTATATGTATATATGTATATGTATATATGTATATGTATATATGTATATGTATATATGTATATGTATATATGTATATGTATATATGTATATGTATATATGTATATGTATATATGTATATGTATATATGTATATGTATATATGTATATGTATATATGTATATGTATATATGTATATGTATATATGTATATGTATATATGTATATGTATATGTATATATGTATATGTATATGTATATATGTATATGTATATATGTATATGTATATATGTATATGTATATATGTATATGTATATATGTATATGTATATATGTATATGTATATATGTATATGTATATATGTATATGTATATATGTATATGTATATATGTATATGTATATATGTATATGTATATATGTATATGTATATATGTATATGTATATATGTATATGTATATATGTATATGTATATATGTATATGTATATATGTATATGTATATATGTATATGTATATATGTATATGTATATATGTATATGTATATATGTATATGTATATATGTATATGTATATATGTATATGTATATATGTATATGTATATATGTATATGTATATATGTATATGTATATATGTATATGTATATATGTATATGTATATATGTATATGTATATATGTATATGTATATATGTATATGTATATATGTATATGTATATATGTATATGTATATATGTATATGTATATATGTATATGTATATATGTATATGTATATATGTATATGTATATATGTATATGTATATATGTATATGTATATATGTATATGTATATATGTATATGTGATATATGTATATGTATATATATATATGTATATGTATATATATATATATATATATATATATATATATATATATATATATATATATATATATATAATAACAATGTATCTTCTAAACGTTGCATTAATGTGGTTTGCATGGGGCTTGCAGTGAGTGGCGTAGCGATGACTATTTACAACCTTCTTCAGAGAGGCAGCAGTAAAAGACGACATTCTGTATCAGGTGTGTAAATAAAACAAAAAAAATAAAATCGCTCAATTCATATTGTACATATGTAGCCAGTGCTTGCTTCGTCATACCATATCATATTTATTTGCTAATATTGCACACGGTTTCCACGTTGCGCTTAATTTATTACGAAGACCTGTTCTTAATTTTATAATTTCTATTCGGTAGCAGACTTTAACAAGATCGTTTAGCACATACTTATAAATGCAGGAAAAAGCTGATTTAAAGTCGTTTTTTTTTTTCATCCGGTCGCGCTTGTACACCTACCAAGTGTTTCGGCTCTGCAATCCAGTTGCGTGTATTTGTCCACGAACGTTTTCCAAAGTAACTGTGGTAGCACCTGCTTCGGTTTCCGAAATATAATAAAATAAATCAAAAATGGTAACATTTTGTAACATAGTGTAGGATTAGCAGCTAACTTTTTTCCTTAATGGCGCGTTTGATATTGTATATTTCATCCGTATTGAATAGAACAACTTTTCCGTTATTCTGATAACTATTGTATAACACACTTTATATTTTATTCCACTTATTTTCGAGAATAGAATGGAACAATAAAAATAAATTAAATTCTTTTACTATTCTATTCTATTGTATTCTCTATTTGATCACCATTTTGTTCAGCACATTTTTCGAATGATTTTAGGCATTTAATAAGAATTCTGAATTGCCGCTTAAGTGTTTGTCACCGTAAATTATTTGCTGATTTTTTTATGCGCTCCCAAAAGAAGGAATACATTGGATGCAGTGTATATACAACCTTTTTAAATCTTGTAGAAAAAAAAGACGTATTCATTTTCTTTTGTTTACTCACAAAATTATCACGTGAAATACACGCACATATTTATCCAACAAACTAATTAGGATTTCCATTGTCCACTATAGGAATACTCGTTCGAGGTAACAATCATTTTCTTAGTCAATTAATCAATTCTTAAGCATAACTAACATTGACCGCCTCTTTCAAACTCACACAAAAACAAGCTTTTCCAGACCACTGATTTCCCACATTAACTTATCAAGAGTTGTTTTCTTCAAACAATTTTGTTGCTATTATGTAATGTATGTCGATTTTTTTTTTCAAAGAAACTTCCACAGTCTACTGTAATACGTTGGCTGTTGGCTTCTTCAGAGATTGACTGAAACTCAGTTTCTGAATAAGCCAACAATAGGCGAAACATTAGCTAGTTCGACTCAACAAAAACCGACGCAGGAGGAATCCAAAAGTTTTATAAAAATTAATGTATGTCGTTTTTAATCCTGTTTCTGCATTCGTTTATTTTGAATATAGAAAGAGCAATTTTGATCCGGATGGACGTGGGAAGGAAGAATCTTTGAGCCATATTTCATTTATTTTTCAATTCAGTAACGAAGAAGACTGGCATCCTCATTTGGCATTGCTATTCAAAAAGCTTATGAATTACGAATTACGCAGTGTTTCTTCAAAACGGGGTGGATTGAACTGCGAGTAATAACTGTCTCTGATATTTTTTTTTCTTTTCTTTATTGATTATCGGTTTCTTTAAATTTCTTTGCTAGTATAATTACTGTTGTGATAGTATATTTAAAGCATATATCACTTTCACGGATGCTAAATTCGCAAAACGCCATTTTAATAATAATATTACTGTGTCCAATAATCAGTATTAATCAATATGGCTTAGCAATAGGCCAAATGTAAGGATGACTAATTGTCAGTCACAGCACTCTATGAAATTACATGAAAATTTCCAATTTTTGCCAATATTTCTGAAACCAGTTGCATAAAATATAAAGTGTTTTATATATAGGTGATCAGAATAACATGTCGTGTTGAGTACCGACAAAATTTACAAGGTGGTCCATTTAAAAAAATATTAAACAGACTGAGCTCTTAGAAAGTTATTTTGCAGTTTTGTTTTGCATGTCATGTGAGAAAAAACTTAGCTGATAACCCTCCATTTTGTTTTTTATTTCCCTTGATATTTTTAAAAACAAAAGTTACAGCCAATCAAAATATTATCGAGATAAATTGAACGCATGGTATGTGTAAAAAAATTTGGAGCAAAAATTATTTGTTTTCAACATTTAGGGAATCATATAAGAAATACATTTTTCTATAATGATTTGATGATAAATAAATAAAAATACCTTGTTTCTTAAAAATTAAATCCAATAATTAAGTTAATCCAAATGAAGTGGGCACTATTGTTAACTTTTTTATTATTAGCCATTGAATATCTCATTTCTTAATAAATCATATATCATATCATAAATCATATTTATTCGGAAATAAGATATTCATTTTTTGGGTACTACTGCTTTGCTAATAAAAAAGATTGTAATAGCGCCCAATTGTACAGAAGCGAAAACCTGGCAAATGATGTCGAAATGATTGTCGCCGCATTTTTAACGCTTATCGAAATTTTCGAAAAATAAACCGAACGCTTCGGGTTAAAGGCATGTTTAAACATTATGTTAACCAAAGTTTATGTTTAATAGTATGTGCCAAAGGACACAACAAAAAGCCGACAAAAACGCCTTTGTTGATTGATTTGGCAGCGTGCCATGGTGGAATGTGAAAAATTTTTATCGAGGCGGTGGCACGCTCGTAGTACCTTGTTTTTGCATGAAGATGGACTAACAAAAAGAAGTTAATTTTTTAATTCCCTGTTTGCATAGTTTTTGTGAAACTAAAAATTGCCTAAACAATTATAACAATTTTTTTCTTGCAATTTTAAGCAAAAGAAAAAATTACAATTAAGATATTTTATAGATTTCAATCGATTTGCTATTGTATAAATAGTGTTTTTAGAGTCATTCGCTTAATTTCTATTTAGAAATTGGAACAAAACGATTAAATTTTATATACGAATTTAGATGCGACCAGAAAAAAGTAAAGTAATGTAAAGAGAAGACAAATGTACTTCAATTTATTTATTTATATATTAAAAATAGAGATTTGTATATGTACAATGGTTTCCTACTTACGCTGATTACAATTTTTGTTCTCAAAATTCCTCTTACGAAAAAAAAACAGTACGCATGAATCAAACTATCGATAACATAGATGCAAAGCCTCCGTGGTCTGCCGAAGGTAAGTAAGTAAATGTTTAATGGTCAGGTGTATTTTGAAGTTATATATGGAGTGTTCTTTTTAAAACTTCCTCATGTCGTATATCTCGAAATCTGAAGAATGAGAAAAAAATTGCTTTGCCGCTTTTTACCACGTCTCAAGTAATGAACAATTTGTAATTATTAGCTTTGAGTTTACGTTTATTCTGACGTTTGATTTTTTGAAAAAAAACGTTTTGCCCTACGAAAGTGATTTCGCAATCCCAAATTCTTTTGTTGCTGTCTTAATTAAGAAGAAAATTGCCATGAAAACAATAATTCAGTATTAAGTAAGTTAAATTAGAGCAACAGGACTGAAACAAGTTTTACAAACAAGAATTTAGTGACGAGTTTCTTTATATACAAGCATAGTATTTAATGAACGAGTGACCAAAGAAGTGTATTAACGTGTTGCATACTAAACTTTTTGTACGATCGTGTGTTTTGATTAGTCTTATGATAGGTAATGGATAACAAAATAACCGTCGGAAGGTTACAGTTAAGAAATCAAGTTTGATAATAATATATTATGTAATAAGTTTAATAAACGTCATTTTAGTCGTTAGTTTTATTTGGCACGAGCGTAGGGAGTTTAATATATGAGTGACTGAAGAAGTTTATCAACGTGTTGCATACTATACTTTTTCTACGATTGGTTTTTCATGAACGCGTCAGTAACTGATTGAAGGCATTATCGAGTGCGCTTTTTTTTATCTTCTGGGCGTAACCAATCAGAAACGACCCACATCTTGGAGCAACGAATCGAGTCTGTAGAGTCCAATCTGGATAAAGATCTGTAACTTCGGAGAGAGTCACAATAGATCCTTTGCGCTTGATTAACGGACAGGCCAATTGCTAGCTTTCTCAATTTGAACCTTGAATCTGGAATCAGAACTGACAAATAACGAAACGAGGTGATGCACCCCCGCTAGAACGAATTTTTTTCCCGTAATTCAGCCTTTTTTTTTAAATCCCATATTTCGAGATATTCGAGGTTGGAATATTTGAACGTCCGGTGTACATTTGTTGTCGGGCACTCGATCTGAGATAATTTTGAATTCGAATTTCTAATTCGGCCCGCCGTTCCTTTAATAATACAACCTTGGTATTTATACTTTTGTCTGACGTTACGTAAGAGAGGAGAGCATTATTTCCGTTGCCAAAATTTTTCGAATTGCCCACCGGCACGTCTGTTGGAAAGTTTGTAACTCGGGTTCGGATATGTCATCGTTAACTGCCCCGTCTACGTCATCGATGTATGCCGTTGTGATATTTTCGAATGCAGAAAAACAACATGTGACCGCCGAAGCATTTTTCGCAATTAGAATCGCCCGACTTATTTATCGATTTCGCCGTTAATGAATCTCATTTTACGGTCTCGATGTTTCATTGAGTTTCAACAACACTTTAGAAATTTCGTTTATTACGGCAGCTATACGAATTCCTGTTCATTCAGCGATAAGAAACCGAGGCAAATTTTACAATAGAATAACACGACTGCTAATGGGGATTGTTTTCCTTCTCTTGGTCGTTGAGAATGGGGTGCTGTTTTATTACATTTTTTACCGTTATAATGCTGACAGAAAATATTTTCTTTAAATGTTTATTTAATTCCTTAGAAAGAATTTAAAATTTTCTTTTTGAATTTCAACTTTGCAATCGTTTAAAATCTACAATGTGAGGGGTATTGTTCATTCCTTTTGCCAGTAAAACCGCCATAGAGCGCTTCTCAGGGCATCTTGGTTCTAAAGATTTTTAATGGCTTGACTGCAGATATAAAGCATTATATACTTTTTAAATTGATTATTTATGTTAGTTTTTAAATTAGTGTTGATTGCATATACCTACTAACCCCTCATTCAAATCTGCCATCTTCCTTTAAGTTAGGATTTACTCTAAGCGAATGGCATTTTGTTCATTATAGGTAATTGTAATTTAGGTGTAATAAATGTTGCTGAATCTTCGTTATTACATGAAAATACTTTCATTATAAAATATGTTCTGAAACTAAAAACTTTCTTTTATTGCAACTGCAAGAAAGAAATTATTAGTAGGTATTGTACATGCACAAGATTGTGATCGTCTAAATATATCACAACCGCATATGATTTAACCCCAAAAATTCTCAACAGGTAGAAAAAATTAAGAAATAATATAAAATCGGTCATTAGTATTAACGTGAGTGACAAAGAAAAGAAAATACACATTACTACCAGTCTCCCTCTAAATAAAATTTGCCTCACAATCTCGGTATTGGTTGAATTATCAGGGGTCCCATTCCGTTTTAGGTCGGTTTCACTGCTTATCAACTAATATGTGTTTCACAAATTCAATACATAGCAGGTTGATTTGTCTTTATATTTCTTTTATTTTTTATACAAATTTATTTTATATTAAAAATAAGTCTTATTCTTTTAGCCAAAAGAATATATATCGTTAACTACTTTTGAACGTTGAATGTTTATTTTTAATATAAAATAAATTTGTATAAAAAATAAAAGAAATATAAAGACAAACCATTATAAATAACGCATACCCCATTTTATTTTCATCACTTCTTTGAAGTTTTTTTTGCAAAAAAAAACATACGAATAAGAGATGAGAGTGTATTATGCAGCAAATTTTAAAAATACATTTAAGAATACACGGGAATTAACTTTGACGTCCTACATATTGAACACAAAGGGTTCAAATGGAAAGTGACATAAGGAAAATCCCACTATTTTAGCCAAGGGAATATATGACTAGCAGAATGACAGAGTAATGGTTTAAAATAAGTGCAGTAAAAACATATAATTGTAATAACTCTTTGCTGACGTCCTTTAAACAAATACTATTCAGGTTGGTTCAGAATAAAATGCTGACCCTTAAAGGAGTGAATAAAAAAAAATGAACTAAAAAAAGCATGGCTTTATTATAAATTTTACAGACACCCACTAAGCATCAACGGACATTTCTTAAATGAAACGTTTTTAAATTTTCTAAGCAGTTTTTCTAATAGAGTTTGTAATACCAAAGAGCCTGCCGGAATATATTATTAATTTCGTGAAAATCTGAACTTTTAGTTCTTATTTATTTTGATAAATGGATTTTCATCAAGTAAAAGCTATCTCAGTATAATTTATTCCGGTATAGTTAGCTTCCTATTAAAACGTCTTGCAGTATTTATACCCATCATTATTATACTATATGAAATTCAAAATAAACTTGCCCGCCATTTGTTATATGTTCATGCATGGTGATGGTATATGCAAATGTCAATTTCTCCGGCTTTCGTAATGTGCCTTGTTAGATGTCAATGTGGTACGTAACAATTTGACCAATAGTTTATTTGATTTATTAACCGACCCAACTGCCTCCCAAAGGTATTTTATGCAGTTTGTCTTGGTTGTCGACAGGCGCGGGGAACAATATATCGGGAAGTATTTCTCATCAGCGCACTCAATCACTGCCTCTAGCGACCCCCACCACCACAATTGCACCATTACCCGATAACGCCACCACGTTAACAACCTCTCACCAAACTCGTAGCACATCGATCACCAAACGCCCTAGTCAAACATCTAAGTGTACGTATTTATTTCATAAGGAATGGCATGATTCCGCAGGAGCTTCATTACTAAATACATATAGTCGGGCAATTTCAACCGAGCAAATTGTAGTCATTTTTTTTTAACCCACTGGCTTTTAACTTAGGATTCCAACCTCAATTTTTCCACCCAGCTACGCACAAACGCAGAAGATGAATCAACTGAGCCTGAACATAACAATCGCACACAAAATCGGATCTTACTGAAAATATTTTTCTTTGTGCTTAGCGCATAGAATTTTCTTCAGCATTTTAAGCCTGCCATATCTGGCGTATCGCCTTCATGCTTCGTGTGATTGTTTTAATTCTTCTCCTCAGCTCATTGAAATTCTAACTTGCGCCTGCGTGTAGCTAGAAGTCTAACTTTCGATCGGTTCCCAAAAGACTAGAGTACCTAATATGCCAGTTTATTTATCGTTCATTATTTGTTCGACTTTTTCAGTTTTCTCGAAGAAATATTCCCGAAGCTTCTGCGAAATTGCCCCCATGAAAGTTTTAACTTTGTACCGGGTGTCCGCTTTTCGACGCTTACGCTAATCTTGCCCAATTTTAGCGGTCATTATAAAAAAATGTTAATATTCTGTCATCCAATAACGTGGTTTGTTGTATCGTTAAGCTCAAGTTGTTCGCATTGTTTATATATGCAGAAGATACCTACAAACTTTCTTCTGTGCAGCTGCGTGAAATTCTTAGCAGGTAAATTGAAATTGATAAAGCAGTTGCTACTCCAGAGCAAAAGGAAAAGTATAGCGAAGATGTAGATCATGTTACAAAAGCAAATAGCCAGACTTTACTTACTATAAAAATACAAATATGACAGCAGACACTCTTCAATGTTCTTTAAAAGTTGAAGAACTTATGGAACAGCGTACAGCTTGCAGATTGAGGTTCTTAATTTGCAAGATTTTGGGTACATTTTGATAAACCATTGACAATTTAGCAAACCAACCACGCCCCTATGTGAAAAAATTAAAAGTTGTTATACTTAAAAAATGTTTTTTTTTTTATTATAACTTCAATTGATATTACTATTTTTTAACCGGCATTTGTCTACACTTAGCACAGCGCACCACTGATTTTGCTTAGAATAAAAAATGGTAGATAAAATAGATATAATGGAATAAACAATATTGCAAGTGAAGAAACTAGAAAAGTCAGCTTTTGCAGAATTTCGCAGCCTTTAGGTGAAATAAAAAAATAGCCCGCAATAATCTGAGCATTTGAGAACAAGACACCCGGTACATATTCAAATACTAACATTTTTCGTGCTGGATTTCTCTGGTATTAACCGCCTAATAACCATCGTGACCTACAAAACTAAAAAATGCACCTGCCGGATCCTTCTTTGCTTGAAACTTTTTCCACGCCGATACCAAGAAATGTTTGACGCTATGGGCTGCATGTAACTTCAATTTTCTTTCTATACTTGCAGGCTTCAGGGACAGATGCGACAGTATGCCGTCGCGACCTCGCACGAGCAGCGAGGGTAACCATTGCATACCAGGCTGGGGCAAACCGTATTTGATACCGCACCGCGGACACCTCAGAGACGCCTCCCATAGTCCTCCAACAGGTCAGTGGCATTCAGCAAAACTACTTTGCTAATTTTTTCAATCGTCTCCGCTTTTTGTCGTTCAGGAAGTCCAATAAGTCCTCCGTCGGATTCCACCGGGTCGTCCTACAGCATCACCGACGACCACGACGGCGTCGCGGCAGAAGTCGACTCGCAGAGGATGCACAACACGCTGACCCCTGATGCCGTCATTGCCGAGGAAGAGTGTCCTGATAGTCCTCACGCGGGCGCCGTTAGTGGATACGTCACGATGACACCTCAAACCGTCACGGACGGTTTTCAGCATACGTCGCACCATTACGACGGTCACAATTTCCCGTCGAACTCGGCTAGCATGAGCAGCGTCACATCTGGAACGCCCTCTACCGACATGAGGTAAATTATCTCGACGACGAACGTATATTTGGCATATTTGGGTCCCATTTTCAGATTCTCGGATTATCCACTGGATAAGGTTTTCGCATACGTCTGCGCCGAAGAGGACGACGCCCGGCCTTGTCGCGCTTACTCTGTCGGATCTAAACCACCGGGAGTTCCCTCGCCGCATTCTGCTACTCCCGACAACTCTAGAATGCGCGCGTTCAGCGTAGGCTCTAAAACCAAGAGGTATTTCAACCGGGTGTTGCCGCCGCATCATCCGCATCCCGGGATCAAATCGAGCAGCGCTCCCATCCTTTCCAATTCGCGGATGGCCAATTCGTTCGGTTCGATCGGCCCGATGGGCGATCTAATGGAAATAGACTTTTCCTCGGACGCGATGCGTTCCAGAACGAATACCAGCGCCTCCGGATCGAGCGATACCAAGCCCACTGTGGAAAAGCGTAGCAGATTCCCAATGAATTTGTTCGAAAGATCGGAACCGGTCAACACCACTCCCGCGGGATACGTGGAAATGAAACCCGGAATCGATCACAACGCCAAAATGAACAACTACAAGAACGACGTATCGCCGTACGTAGATATGACCCAGGGGCAAAGGGTATCCGCGTACGTGGACATGAGCAAGGGGATGTCCCCTTACATGGACATGTCCGGTTCCCCATTCAGAAACGCCACCGAGTTTCACCAGGATTTGAGAGAGAATTCCAAATACAGCGATTACGTCGACATGGAGCAGAGACATAGAACCAACTCGAATCCATCACGTAATCCCCAAACGAGAGCCGCGTTGCCGGGATATCCCTGGGAATCCGATTATATGGTGGAGCGCGCTCCCAGAAGAGATAGGAATTCGTTTAATTCTCAGATGTCGTCGTCGCCACACTTCGACTCTGTATCGCCTCAGCATTCCGATTATACCCCCTTAGGGTTCGGAGCTCAAGTGAAAATAACCGACCGTCCCGAGGGGTACGTGGAAATGACTCCGGGCGTATCTTTGGCCCATCAACAACGCCAGGCCAGTTACAACAACGATATGGGCGACTATCTCAATATGTCGGGTGTTGTAAGCAGCAAGCCCGCAAAGAAAGAACGATCCCAACCGATCTCTATCCAAACCACCTCAAATAATCAGACAGCGAAAAATTCGAGTCCCATTTCGATCACGTCACTTCTCGGCGGGAAACCGTTACCGTCTGGTACGCCGCCACGCATGCACTTACCCCTTTATTCGTATACGTCGTCGCCATATTCGAGTCTTCCGAGACAGAAGTCTAGGAAGAATAGTGGTTCGAAAGATAGCTCGAGCTCGAGCGTCACCACGACACCGTCAAGTTCTTCCACGATGTTTCCGTTAAGCTTGAACAGTCCGAATTCGCCAGCTAGTAAAACAAACACGCCGACCATTTATAAGGTACCGCCGTCGATTTTGAATATCGCGCATAAAGTCGGAAAGACGGCCGATTATGCGATAATGGATATGGACGGCGCCAAGCCGGCGGCGGCTGTCGCGAAATCAGACGACATTTCTGATTACGTCAACTATTGTCCGGGTCCCCCGGCTGCTCCGAAAACACCGATTCTTCAGAAGTGCGTGGATGATTCCGCGGGAGACTACGCGATCATGAAACCGGGAAAAATAACGGAGGGTCAGAGATCCATGACCCTACCGCGGATGAGAGGACCAAAGTCCGGCATCGCTTCCCCGCTCGCAGCTCATCTGTCCCACGTCGGACTCAATGAGCACAGTGAAGGGTTTCGACCCATCACCGAGAAAGACGAACGGATGTCGTCACCCAAACCTGCCGATCAAGTCCCATCGAAATTAACTCAAGGTAATTAATTCCTTATCTTTGTTGTTAATTCACCCAGAGACAATACCAATAAAAAAGAAAGTTATTAATTTCTAAGTAAATATCGACCAGCGCCAAGTGCCGGGAAATTTGAACGAGTTTTAGTGAAAAGTAGTATAACTACAAATAATATCGTTTTTATTTCAAATAGTGGTGCAGTTAAGCTAGAGTATAAAAAAGTTTTGCATCTTTCTCTAGTGTAAACTAAATAAACAATAAAAAAACACTTATTATATGTGAGTGTCTAGAAAATCTACAAACATAATGAAGCTAAAAAGTGAATTGAAACGAAATCTTAAAAGAATGAAAACCTTTTTCCAATTTTCACATTCCCTTTATTTTGGAGTCACAAAGTTTTTACAAAGAAAATCGTTTGTTTTTATTATTATTGATTACCCAAAAGCGTTTTGACCGAGTTTGGTAAAGGTTGGTTTTTAGTTTAATCATAAAAAATGTTGGTTGCAGTGGCGTGCTAATTGTTTTTTGTAAGTTTTTTATGATCATTAGATTAATAAGCAATTCAAAACATGTTTATTTTGTCCGTCGAATAATTTTCTTGTTTTTGGAGAAAAAAATTCCGCACTTGTTGCATAATATACATACTATAAAGAACATTTCGCATCAAAACATGTGTTTTGCTTGCTTGGAAGCACCGCGTAAAATGTCAGTGACGTGTTGTTCAGGGACAAATAAGTCAAATAGGTTTGAAGATATAATTTTACAAAGTGCAGGGTACTAGCGAAATTCAAGGGCATGCGCATAAAATCTCCTTCTGTGGGAAAAAATCCAAGCCGCCAACCCAAAAATGAAGCGAATTAGGGAAAACCTTTATAGCGAAAAAAGGGTGCATTACATTGGAAAAAAGTGTGTTTACCTGATTAGTTCATTCTCAACGTTTGACCATATTTTGTATAGAGATCAATTGAATTGAAGGATCATTTGTTTAATTGAAATAAAATTTGGTATTTTTACCCTTTTAATTGTTTATAACTTAACTTTTAAGTTGGTAATCGTAATATAAACTCCTGTGTGTTGGTTTTGAAATTAATGAAATTGTTATGCAATTTTAGATGATAAACCCCTAGAAGCAGCTAATATGGAAGTAGAAGATAGTCCTTACGAAACTCTTCAGGCTTCTGTTAGCTTCATCTCCCAACCGATTAAGTCATCGATACCCAGTTCGAGCAATCCTGAAAGGATACAGCCTTGTACTGCCGCAACTTCGAGTGACGAAAGGGTATCCAGACCTGCTTCGGTATGCTCTGAAGGTAAAGTAGTGTCCAGGCTGGGTTCCAATTCTAGCGTCTATTCATCGGGTTCTTCAGCTTCCACTATCGTGTTCCGAAACGAGTCTAGTAATTGCGAACAGCAGCCTCTCGAACAGACTACGAGATTGCACTACGCCAGCCTCGATTTAACTGTAACGGACGAAGACGGCACGAAAAGTTCCAGAGTGTTGAAAAACTCGTTAAGTGAGGTTAACTTATCTCAAGGTGAACCTACCTTCGTTTACGCCGATATCGATTTCATTAAGAGTGAAGACCTGAAGAATTCGGGTGCGAACGCGTGCGGCAGCATTGCCGCCAACGTATCCAGCAGTGCAACAGTTAAACCATAAAACAGAGATTAGGAATATGAAGTGTAAACAAAAAATGCTTTTAATGCAATTAGACGAGGTGATATGAAGTATTTTATTTGCATACCATGTTTCTGGCTTTATTTAAATTTTCGTGCACGAAACAGACTGAATTTAAGTTTACTTTTTAACACGTTTTTCTATATATTCAATTAAGTAATTGTTTTACCTACACATATCGTGTAAGAGGTTAGGACATTGTAGATGAATCGGCGGGCAACATCGCCAGCCGTTTGTAGGTCATTGTGTTGCTGTTAGATGTGTAATTAGATGCATTTTGTTACTGTTTGCTTTTATTTACTTGTGTTTAATTTATGATCTTAAACATATCAAAGTCAAAACGTGGCAGTGACACAATACAGTATACTGTTATCGGCAAAATAGTCAAATTTATTTTAATCTGTAAATGTACTTTAATAGTGATATAAATATATATGTACAGGGTTATTGGGAAATACAAGAAGGAGAAAAGCCTATAATTCTTAAAACTCAAAAAATAAAATACTATTAAAGTAGACTAATTTTCAGACGCACTTTTATACTGGGTTTGTTCGCTCACCGAGTTTCGACTGGGAGTCGAAAACTTGCAATATGTTCTGGATTAAAAGTTAAGGAACAAATTCAAGCGAACTTGGTTAGGAGGCTAAAATGAAGACACCCTTAAACTTTCCATTTTAAGGATAATTTGGTTCATGTAAAATCTTTTTTCTCAATCGTGTCCACTTAAACTGATTCGCTTCCTATATACATCCAAAAGAAATTTTGTGGACGATACCTTGTCAGAGCGAGTTTGTTGTATAAACATTAAATGCGTTTGCCCCGTGCATCTAACCAGTGGGTGGGTCTTAAAGCATTTTTAGCAAATTAAAAACGTGAAAAGCAGCTTTGAATAATGATACCTCCTTGATGTTTATACATATAACAATTACAAACTACAAAACGAAAGTACTTTGCATTTTAAACCAGTTCGTGTATTTTGTGTCGAAATATATGGAAACTACAACAGTATTTTTAATATTTTGCATGAATTGTTACGGCTATTTTTCGGTAGTCGCATTCTACAGGGTATTTCATATAGAAGATTCACGTTAACTCAAAGTTTTGTACGTTCGAATCCCATTCGCCAAGGGAAGAATGCTTTGCCTTTTTATAATGTATAATATCTAAAATACGAATCTCTAGCGATCTATTTCTTCAATCTTTAAGTATTTTATAAAAGCAGAATACTTGCATCATATATAGTAATAATTGCAATGTTATTTATTATAGGACAATTTAGATTCAGAACCTAAAACGAATTAAGAGTGAAGTTTCTATTTCAGACACCCTGTATATTTAGGTAATTGTAGCATAAATATTTAGTGTATGATAATTTTATAAAATTGAGGCTCAAAAATGAATTCCTATAGTAATAGTTCAATTTATTATCGTCTTATTTTATTCGTTTTTAAGTTTTAATTTATTCGCACTTATCTTAAGTAACGGTACGGAGACGAAATCGCTGTTACTTAACTAAATTAATTTAGAACCGCAATTTTTTATAGACAGTTTGTAAACAAAACCTCAGGTGCTGTCTTGTAGAATAGCATTTGCGAACACATACAGTATACAAAAAAACATTTTAATTGAAACATCAGTGCCTTTCCCACAAACAATTTCTGTTGATTTTACAAATGTTTTGTTTGCATAATAAAATCCTATTGGTAATGATACATTTAAGCAATGTCAGGTTTTATAGGCAAGTATTCTTTTTTACATTCTGCAATGTGGAAGTGGCAATAAGGGTTAAAATGTAAGCACCGAATATAAAATAAAAATTTAGGGGTAATGAACAAAAACATTTATTTCGCAGTTTCATTTAATAATGGAACTGCTACTGGATTAACAACGGCTTTTGGATAAAGGTTAACAGATATGGGAAAGAATACTTGCATCGCTAATTTGATGTGAACCATGTTCAATTACTCCGTTATACGTAACAAAAAAAACTATTTTCATGGCTGATTAAAGTATATTTTGGAAAAGTATACCTAATAATATTTACATTTTTAACGTGTACATTTGTGAAAATGTCTATAAAAACTCGTTTTAATTTTCTAATTTGTTTTAAATGTTCTAGTTGAAATTAGCAGTTGTAAGAGCCTTAAAATATTTATATCATTAATGTAAAGTATTATAGAAAAATATTTAAATCAAAACTTATTGCGATGTATCATATTCATAGCCTAAATATATTTAAAGAAAACTACATATTGCATGAAAAAATTAAATACTCCCGTCTCAAAACTAAAAAAGTATATATAAAATACTGTATGGAAATAAGAAAATTGTTGTGTTCAATACTTTTTCATATAAACTTAGGAAATTTTCGATTAAGTAAGGTAAAAGTTCGTTTAAATTATTTACCTGCTAAGTCTAATTATTTTAAATAAATCCCATTCTAATACCGTTAATGCATTTGCGATTTTTTTACGAAGTAAAATTGAACGTCAACCTTCAATTTTATTCGAAGCACATCAAAGGGTTTGTTCTAGTTTAGGAAATATAAAAAAATGTTTGCTTATAATTATATTTTTCGTGAAAAATAAATTTTCATTTAATACACTCTTGGTTTGATTCGACCCTGGAGCAAATATTTTTAAAAATAAATAAACGGAATTAATAAAAAATATTTATTTAAAAACCGTAATTGTAATTTGTTACCCCTTGGAACGCTACCCTATGAACTGCGGGATTCGCAGGGTAACGGGCAGCCACCGGACTGGATTCTTCGGCCACTTGGTTACCTGTCGACGTCACGGGTTGCGTGTATTGAGCAGGAACGTTATTTACATATCTAAAACCAGGATTCGAGACTCTCACCAACGTGGCTTGTTGGGGGTCGTCCTGAGTTGGGGATCGGTATCCTAGAAAGATTATTAGCAATTTGGTAATCACTAACACAGTAAGCTCCCGGATTCACACCTATATCGGTTGTCACATCCGTATGAATGTCGTCGTGCTGCGAGATCGTGTTTTTTACAATCAGCGGTTCAGCAGGCAGGTGGATGTCTGCGAGGGAACCGTAAGACAGCAAGGGCGATTTAAAAGCTACATGTGAAACATCAGCAGCTGCGGAGTAAGCGACTCCTAGAAGGGAGGCGGTTCTAGTGGGCGGAGGTGAGGCTGAGTTTGGATGTTGACCGCTTGCTGTTGATAGAACAGCGAGGGCGATTATAAACTGAAACAATAGTTTTGGTTAGAGAAACAATTTTGTTGTCGATTAGTTATCAGAACAGCTCCGAAGCAGCAGAGCAGAATGTTGTTGACTGCTGCTCGAAAGCGAGTCGGTCAGTAGTGAAAGAGAACCATTTTCTCAGGCTGTGGAGCTATGAGATTCTTCTCCGTCCGGGTCCCCGTCTTCTCAGAACTTTACCCTACACGATGAGCGGTAGCAATCCGTATTGATGTTCATTGCCCATAATGTGAAACAGGTATTCCAGTTCTGGTTTCTTTATTTCTTTTAGGACTTTGGATACTTTATCCATTAAAATTCTCTTCATTAGGATTCTGTTAAGGCAGGAAATCTTATATATACGCCTATAACACCATATTTCGAAAGCCTCGAGTCTCTTCATTGAATCAAGAGGAGACCATGAATCATATACTTCCTTTTTTGGCATTAAAGTCACATTCCTTACTTTTAAACAGGGTCAGTAAATCTACCCAAGCATTGGCAGGGGAACAGGCAATTGGCAATAGATTGCGCCTGGAAGACATCATTCCTAAAATAAAAGAAGACACCTACCAACACCATAAAAGTCTTTCGCAACTTAAATAGGAACAACAAACAACAGTAAAATCGCGAGAGCAGACAGCTGGAAACATTCCAGTACTGGGGAGAATCGGGTAACGAGACAGCAACCTAGGGTATGAAATTAACGATAAAAGGACCAGATCGGCATGATATGTTACACTGACGATGTTCTATCAAGCAATACAGCAACTTAACAAGGAACCAGTGCGATGTAAGCTTGCTATTGAAAACAACATCACAGAGCAGCACAATTTAAAGACCTTATTGTGGATATATTAAGCGGCTATGACCCAACTAAAGGCCCAAGATGTCAAATCAATTACGTCGCAAAGATGTCAGAATGCCTGAGTTAGAGCGTATTTGTAAATCAATACATGCACAAAGAAGTGAAAATCTGTAAAACATGCGTAATACCCATTATAAGCTACGCCATGGAAACGCGAAAAGAAACCAATAAGATAAAGAGCATGCTGGTACAATTATGTAAGGTCACTTGCTCCACCGAGAAGACAATCTAGAATATGGAGGGACAGCTTCTCATCAACATTCCAAGAAATACTGCAGAGGTAGCTTAGAATTAACAGATCGCAAGATCCCATAAAAAGAAAAAGAATAACAAGAACACATTAATGTCAAGTTCAAAGTCTACTGAAGTCTGTGATACGTTTAATAAGTATATGCAGACCCTCAAAGCTAACTTGAAAAACGATAGTATCGTCCGCGTATCTGATGTTATTCAACCGCTCATCATCGAAGGATATCTTCATAATGTATTGGAATAAATGTTGAAAAGTTAATACTTTTCAACAAGATCACCACGTTTTTTTACACCCCTTCTACTTTGATTTCCTCCATCAGTTGTTCGTTCATTTGGACAGCTGCTGACTGATTATAATATATATTTACAATTATTCTGATAACTTTCTACAGGATCTTCATCAATTTATCTTGTTTTACTTTGTCAAAAGCATTCTGATAGTCTCTCCGAGTCATATATACCTCGCAATTCTCGTAGATTCTCTCTCTATTTTAAGGAAGGCTTTGAGAAAGTGATAATCGGTAATCTTGGTTTCTTAGGCAGAGTAATAAGATCGCTTCGCGGAATTTTTGTTGATAAAGTTAAATATTGTCGTTAGTCATTTTACAGAAACTCTGAATAGAAATTGTCAGAACCCGCCGTTTCACCGTCCCTTGTGTATAAATACACAAGGGACGGTGCCCTTTACGTATTGCTTCCAATGTGCGTTTGTTGTATGTCGATTATTGGATGACTTTGATTCTCGGTATGTAGCCGTTAGGTTTGTGCAACCCAGCAGCTTTGAGTTTCTTGTCTACCGCAGCGGTGTAATGTACGTTTTTATCTCTTTCTTTTACTTTCCTTCATATCCAGTATGTTGTTCCTTATACTGGACCTGATGGGCAGTCATCCATGTTTTTTTCTTTACCCCCTAAAATATTTCTATATTGGTTTCTTATAGTTTCTTAATGTTATGTTGGACTGTATTCTCCTTATATATTGTTTCACGTTATCCTTTGTGTCCTCGTTTTTTAACTGTGGCAAGTCCTTCCAAACCGGTCTTTAGTATAAGCTTAAATGTGGCAACAAGTGGGTTAAAACCTTGAACAGGTGGTACGATAAAACTTTAGAGGAAGGTTTTTTTGGACGTAATTCAGATTCGGAATGGTTAAGTTGTTTTCATATGAGTTCTGTGTCTCAAATTTCAAAATCACTAACAAGTGAACCAAACGGTCTAATACTACTTTGAAACGTTAAAATCCCAACCCATGATCACAGAACATAAATGAACTTAAAAGAACTGGGCTACAGAACATAGCAATCAAAGCGTCAACAATTTTAGGCATCGTAGAAAAATGCGCCTGCCAATGGCAATGTGCGCTTAGAACATAAATGCCAGCCTTGTTGCGTCTCCTAGAGCAAAGAAGATAACACTTTAATATTGCTAAGTATTTAAAATGAGTGTGTCTGTTTTAGTTGCCTATGTGACACTGCAACATTGCAGAATATTGTCAATACGATAGAATTAAGTCAACACAACTTTAATAATTAATCTGGTGCATTTTAGACGGCTCCCTTAACGAAAAACGACATTTTTCAAAAAACTTTACCTACTGTACGGCAAAAATTATTTACTATCCCAAAAATTTTAACCTGTAGGGAAAGATCGATAGAATAAGCTGTACTTATATCGTGAAAACAACTTGCAATCAGCACTTTATATTTGATCACTTACTCGAACAACCATCTTCATTTCACCAATGCGCGTTCGTTTTCACCACTATTGAGCCAAATTCAGTATGGCAGCGTTTATATATCTTCGCTTTCATATCCGACGGGAGGTCGTTACACATTATAGTTGCCGAAAAAGAAAGATATTATGAAATTAAGTGCAAGTGCAATCGTGATATGCATGTTGATTTAAATCGATGATCGTGTTGTTTTTAGAAGACGCGAGGTGTAAATGAGCTGACTGCCATATTAAACAACTTTCTTTTTTTTACCTATTCATTCTGTAATACGGGTGGATATATCAATATTTCCTTCTTATATAAATACCATTAACTATGAATGTTTCTGCGGAGCCTTATTAAGTCTTATCCTAAGAAACCATATGCTATGAACAATTATATCAGCTGTAAAAGACATGTATGATCGATGGCCCATGCCTGCTGGCGAAGAAAAAACTGTCCTGGCTGAAGAATGTACGATGTGCCTGGATCTTCATGAGATGATAAGAACCGCCGAGAACAGAAAGGATTTTTTGCCAATCTTCAAGTGAGAAAGTACAGGGAAAATTTAATAGATGGGATTCCTGCCCATTAATGCAGGAGGAAGTCAAATATTTACTGCTAGGACTTTTCCAAGTCGTGGGAACGAAACGATTACATGACTATAACAAAATATATGTCAATCTGATCACACCCACGTTGATATTTAATGTAATTATAATTAGTAGTGATAATTAGAAGTAGCACATTTAGTTTAGTTTCTATTTAAATTTCTTCCCACTCTTTCTTCTTCTATTTTCCACTGTAAAAAGAGAAATTATGCATGGGCGTGTGGAAAGTGACAAGTGTCACTGTAAGTCACTGTGGTATTTTGACGTTTGTGCAAAAATGTACCCAAAAACCAATGATCGTAGGAAAAGTGTAATAAACATTCGACTCCACTGTGTTCCGGTCCTGTCAAATCAACTTCGTGCCTAAGGTGTGTGTATCAAATTTGTCGCCTAGTAGTTTATTTAAAAATTGCTCCAAAAATTAGACGAAAAACTTCAATAATGAAGATTTCCAAACCAACTGAAATAATCCAAGAATATAATAGAATATTGCAGACTAATATTTGTAGGTCAGGATGACAAAAGGGCCGTCGAGTACATCTTTATAGTCAAGGGGTGTATTTGTATTGTTCGCTTCGTTTTTTTAATCGATTTTTATAAGGACGAAAGCCCATAAATTACGGGGAATAAATTGCGAAGGAGAAATTTAACCTGATGTCCTGGAGAAAATCAAATATGGAAAACTTCAAATTCTTTATGTGCTACCAACAATTGGATTGTTGATTAAGTAAATTGTCTTTTAATTTTTTTATGCCGATATTTTTAGTTTAAGGCTATTTTACACAACTCAGGTAATACAGGGAAACAATGACTTGTGTTTGAAACGTTTTTTCGAAAAATCGTATTTATGAACATACCAGCTTTAACAAATTCTCGAAACGTATATATAGTTGCCACTTTTTTAATAGGTTTGTTGGATTTCCTACAGGGTGTCCTAATATCTCACTACTACTACCAACATTGAAATGTTATTGTATTTTTGTACTAATTTTAAAGTGCTCAAAAGTACAAGGTGTTCTATTTAAAATTTCAGGACAATCTGTAAACCAAACAAGTGAATTCCAAAAAGAAAAACTCATTTCTATCCCAACAACTATTAGAATAATCATAATTTGTAATGCATGCGCACCCCTGATAATTTAGTTTGAGTACCTTCAGGGTTACAAAAAATTAACAGTGCTTTATATGTTAACCATATTCGAAAATGTGGCCGGACTGTATAAACGCGTTTTCCAACGTACAATACTTTTGCCGCAATAATAAAACTTGCCACAAACGACTGCTTTTCTAGAGGAATAAATTTGTTTTGTGTGCCGCCTTTGGACAACTAAATAATGGAAAAATAAGAAAGCAATTAAAATATAATGGGAAATTCTTGTTTTGGCTTGATTTTATTTTATTCACGGCCTGATAGGCGAGTTCGTTATTTATCCATTAGGGTTACAGTAAAGCTTGCTTTCGAGAGAGGAATATCCAGGCTGTATTGCTCTATAAATACGTTATCTATGCTCCTAGCGAGAGTCTTAATGAAATCAGGGAGTCCCCAGCGATCCTGTGGAAGATGCGCGGATTTAATGAATAAATAAATTGAAACTGATTAAGAAATAGATATTTGAAATGTATTTATTTATTTTATTTCCAAAACGTTAGAGACGAATGCTATTTGACTCCATATTTTTTGTAGAACATTGTAACATTGTGTCCTTAATAAAAAATCAGAGCTACTAAATTGTGAATTGCGAATTTATGAAGCTTTGAAAACGAAGTTGTATATTAAAAAATGTTTCCTACTATAAATGCAGTCATTGTAGAACGTAGGATGATGGATAAGTGCATTATCGTTCTTTTTCTCTGATCCTATTCTAGGTGATATTTTTAGACACGTGATTCTTTGTTATAACTTATTTTTTACATCTACTAAATATCCACCGCTGCCTTTCTTCTTTTACGTATGTTTATCCAAATCTATTTTAGTTCTTTCCTTTGTAATTTGTTAGTAAATCAGTATATCGAGCCCAGGCATTTACTTAAATTTACAGGAAAGGGTTTGCCATAAGAACTTCTCAAGAAAAGAAAAAAATTATTTAGTCAGTTTTATATTCAGCAGTATGTGTCGAATTAAAATTAATATCTCTGGATTTTGATATTTGATAAAAACACACCAATTGCAAATTCTAAGAACTAAGAAGTAAGAAATGGAACATTTGCGATGCTGGAATCGTTACGATGGAAGAAAGAAAGAAAATGCAAAAATGCAATGTGAAAGATCCTCCCAAATTAACACTTTTATTAGCCAAGAACAAAAAACCAAAATACTTACAACAAAAGAGAGTCCTAAACGATATTCGAACTGTACTCACCTAAATTTCCAGAATAGAACCAAACATTCTGTAATTAAAAGCGCTTGCAGTTTAAATCTGTACGTATTTAGATTTTTGTACTCATTCAGAAATATTGGCAATTGACAATTTAAGACATTTTGTGAATTTTGGTAAGTTCAACTTACAGTGGGAAAAAAGTATTTTTTTTTTCTTCCTACCCTAAAATACTAAATTAGGCAATGATCAATCATGACCAGAAACTATCCAAACACATAGCTATACATTTTTTTATTAATGGCAATCCTAATTTAATCACTGTAAATCATAGAGTTAAAATTGAGCTTTTGTGCCATTTCAAACAATAGTGCTTGCGTTTTCTCAGAGTGAAGAAAAAACTCATAGTTGGTTGGTTGGATTTTTCCAAATTTCTGGAATAAAAAATACACAGAATATTCACTAATTCGTTTATATAAAAGAAGAGTAAGATCAGTCCTGAGATTGGGACCTTTCACGTGGCCTGTTGTAATATTTTGACCATGATGATGATATAGCTGATAAGATTATATAGGGGTCTGCACTAGCTAAAAGTTCATTCCTGTGACAGATCAACCACATTGCAATTATCCTTCTGCCTCGACTTCGATAAAAATATCTTGCAAAAATCGTTTATAGCTCTATTGGTAGGTTTCTAGGATAAAAAACTATATTATCTGATGTAAATGATATAAAACTAGGTCACAAAACACAGAAGCTTATTTATTTATTTATTTATTTATTTATGAACTACTCCCCTTTTGATGGCGTTTCCTTTCGAATTAACCAAACCAAGAATTTTGGAATCTATCGACAGCCCATTTGTGTTGGACTTTGTCTTTTTTAGTCAAAAGTTAGCATTTTTCTCCTCGCATGATATGACCCATATAATGCGTTTTTCTTTCCTTTCTCGTTATTCTCAGAACCATGATATTCTTACTACACGGCGATAAATATACATTTCAGACTCTATTCTCTTTTCCAGTGACGTATCTAGAGTCATGCGAGACATCCGTACGAGTGTTCAATGCGGCATATTAGTTCTTTCTCTACGCTTATTAACGCATCTAGAATAGCATTAAACAACTTCAAAACGCTATCTAAATTGCCACCTTATAAACAATATTTTTTTGGTATATTGAGCTAATGAAAATTAGCTGGATTTGCGCGATTTACTCCCAAAGAATCACAAGGTAAGTAAAATTTTTAAAAACTTCTCCTTTTTAATTAGTTTTCGAGAGGTAGTAGGTGAAACCCCATGTCTTACGGTATAATACGACCAAAAGTATAGTGCACAGTAAGTAGGTCTTGCCTGAGATGGACCGTAACGAATATTTTTAGAAACTTGTAAATAGACCGTTTTAAATTTGATTGATGAAGTATTAACACGGCGAGGAATTTTCGAATAAGTAGAGGCGGTTTATTTTAACATCAGGTGATATGTATCGTTCTTAAGAGTTTAACCTAAATTGCCAATATGGTCGTATATATTACGGAGGTATTTCACCATGATCCTTGCAGTAAGTATGCGAGGCTATTCTCATTCATTAGTTCAATGATAAGTACTTGTACTCTATTTATCCCACAGGTAAGTTTGAAAACATGACCGCGGAAATATTTGACTGGTTTGAAAATAAACTGTTCTCAAAACTATCGCCAAATATTGTTATTGTGTGGGATGATGGCTCGTATTATTCAGCCCAAATTAGAAAAATTCCAAACGCTTCTTGAAATAAAAAAGAAATTAAACAATTTCTGTACAAAAATTATTTATATTTTGAAGAGAGCTACACGAAAAAACAACTTCTTCAATTATTAATAATAAAACATTTTAATAAAGACTACAATATCGATTCGATAGCACAACAGAACGGACATGAAAATCTTGAGATTACCCCCGTATCATTGTATATTTCACCTGATTGAGATGATTTGGTCTGAGTTGAGAGCGCATATAACAAGAAATAACACTGCACCACAATTTAGTGATAGTACCATAAACGTAATTCGGCAAGAGGTAGCTAAAGTATCAGTACAAAGATGGTCTAACTGTGAAAAACGAGTAATAAAAGAAGAAAATATTTATCGAGAACGATCAGTGGCGGGGTTGAATCAGTGACACTAGGGACAGTGACGATTTTTTAAGTGACCGATACTTTATTATTATTATATTTAATATTTTGTTGTTACTTAGTACCAATTTTTTTATCTACAGGTTTCAAGAATTGCTCGGCGAAAAAGTTTGAAAAATACTTATATCCCGTTCGTTAGCGTAGGTAGATAAATTCCTAGGACGGTCCTGGAATGATCACGGGTAAGGGTTTGCTGCGGTTTTGGATAAACGGTAGGGGACCGGTTGTAAAAGCACTATATTTCTGGTCGAAGTATACCAAAATTCCCTTCGTCCTCGTCGGCATTTGAAATAATAACTCAACATCCAAACGTGGGAGTAGATGCGGTCGAACGGTAACGTCGGAACGGAAAGTGGCCCATTTATAGTAAAGTAATGTTTTGCCGGAATGCGTCGAACTGATCTCGAAACTGACGGGGTTCCAAGTGCATTGCCCTATGTTCGGGGCACTCCGATCTGGCGCGGGAACGTAGAACCTTCTTCTGCTGATCAATAAGCGTGGATCCGCCCCATATTCAGGCTTCGCCGTTGTGGCAACAGTCACCCCACAACGCTGACGCTATTTAGACGTAGATCCATTGCGTTCTCGAGAGTGAAACCCGATCTATGACGTGTTGCGTTTGATACTAAGAGATTTCTTGTTTGTGGTTTAGTTGCGGCATCGTTTTCGGCGTTGCAAACCAACTAAACAAGTTAGTTTGATATATTTATAAGCTTTTTCTCGTTTTGTTTGGCTTTCCGTTTTGTTCTGTGCCCGTCTAACCTAGATGTTTTTAGATGCGCATTTTGTTGTTTTTCGCTTTGCTAATATGTTGTCCCCGCGTTTCTACCCACTTAACGCGTTATGGTAATTGTTATGCCGAAAGGCGTTATTCATTATTAAAAAATAGTCATCTATTAAACTTTGATGTAAATAATTTAGTGTGTTTAAACACTATCGTGGGGTTTTAACGTTTAAGTACTAAAATCGACAGCTAGGCGAGGCGATCCAATTATTCCCAACCAAATATTTATAACTAAAAGGGGTGGAAATAATTTCTGCGATTGTCTATGCTGCGGCATATTTCTAGTTGTGGTGGTACAAGTACAAGTGCAATTTTGTTTTGTATTCAACTGATCTTGTCCAAGTTTCCTTAGCGGTTCTTAAGATTTCGTTTTCAAAACGTTTACGTTTGGTGCGTATTATATTAGATGTTTTTAACATTTACCAACTTTAAAGTATTTACAAGTTAAACCTCATCAGTTTCGTATTATTGTTAGAACAGTTCAGATTTTTGTGCAACCGTTTTGAGAGTCTAAACAGGTTCAAAACTTCTTAAAAATGAAATCCATGTTTATTTATTTATTACTTATTATTAAATATATTAAAAAACAAATGACATTTTAGTATACAACAAGAAGAAACTCGCATATTTGTTAAACCAATGATATTACCATCACTATACCTATTATACTATACAGGGTGTTCGGAAATTGAGTTCCGAGGAAAGATTCAATGTGGTAAAGTAATGCTAGTAAAACATGAAACAGTTTTTGTTTTGTGACGATGACTTTTACAAAATCTGGTCTGTGTGTAAAATACCAGCTTATTCCGTGAAGAATTAAGCGCACTGCTTTAAAAATAAAATTAAAAAAAAATTGACAAGCAATAATCATAATTACAAAAATTAACGATTTCGAATTTGTGTTACGTAACTTACTACCATTATTTTACCACGTTGAATTTACCCTCCAAGTTTGGGAACTCAATTTCCGAACACTCTGTGTAGGATGGTTCGAATTATAACGGAGAAAAATAATTAGAAAAGTTCATATAAACTTATGTAATAAAATGCTGCGTTTTGTTTGAGTGTAGAAATATTGGTTAACTAATCGTCTTCCCATATTTTTAAAAAACTTTCAAAAGGGTATTTTGCCACTTAAAACAAATTTACAGCGTAGATAAACTTGTTTTTCTTTAACCAGTGGCGTTCGTGAGTAGTTTAAATTAATTTAACTAACAAAAAAATCGGTAGGCAATGGTTTATTGCAATTTTGTCAATAAATTTAGATACCCAAAAATAGGCTCTTGGTTTTTTTCGCTCAAACGAACAATTTTCGCGAATATTTGAAATTGAATCTGTTTTTTAATGGCAACAATACCTACCATTCAAAAAGTAGAAGAGATTTTTTTTTAATAGAATGTATGGAGTTTTTTTTAAAACTTCGTTACTGCTGAATACGCTGTTAAAGTTGCTCCATTATAATTCGTACCACCCTGTTTATGACGAAACATTTCTCAACAAACATTTTAAAATCCACATAAAAACATGAAACAATCGCATTCACCCTTTTCTCTAGCATAGGGGGTAAAAATATGCGAAAGCTCTGTAATTTAAAAAACAAACATTCGCCCAAAATGTAGCCTTGTATATTTCGGAAATTTTAATCTGTTTACAACCACATCTCTCTTATCACAACTCGTAAAGTAGTTGTAAAATCAACAACCAACCAATAACATTTTTTAAAATTCATAGTTTCTTTTAACGTTTTATCTATAGAATAGAACCCAACTTTAGGGTTATTTATAAATGTTCATCAATGACGTTTTATATTATATAGTATACTACTGAACTGGTATTTAACTTACTTGTCACTACATATTTTTACTTGTACATTATGCAAGTTTATCGTTAGTAATTTTGTATTCTATATTGTTTCTATGATCAGATTTTGGGTATACATTCTATATACTAAATGACTTGAACGTCAAAATAGCAGTGTCCAAAATGCAACGAACACATCCGATCACTGTCCAAAGTCACGACTAAAGTACGAGAAATATCAGAAGTCGCTCGCGAACTATTCAACAAATCGGAGAACAATTAAGCAATAGTCAACTTGTTCAAGAATTTAGAAATATTCCTGTATGTAACAACTACTGAGGTGCTTTTCTAAACTCTCACTAAGTAATAATTTTTTTTATTATAACGGCTGCAGACTAAAAAATAAAAACTAAACAAATAATTTTGATATTATGCTTCACGCTACATTGAAATATGGTTGCATTATGTAGCTACTGGAAGGTCTGACGGCGTTCCAAAATCAACATGGCTGTTGAAAGTTCGTCAATTTGACAGGTTTTAGAAAATGTTTCTCGAATATCATCGGAACGTTACCATAGGGGAGTGAGAAATAAACAGGTCTCTTGCAGTGCAGAACATTTCGTCATAATCGCCAATGACCAACCATCGTCAGAGGGACCTGACAAGACACAAGAAGAAGAATAATCCACTACGAAAGTAATAAAAAATAATGTTGTAAAAATCTTCGTGAGTTAATTCATTCATAATCTTGTAGAAGGTAATTTTGCGAGACGCATACAGTCGGCCAAGAAAGTCTCCGTACATATAGTATTTTTTCAGTTTTCTTTTAGTTTCATCTTTCACGTACATTTCTAAAGTCAGGGAAGAGTTCATAAAAAAATAATAGCCCTGCATCGAGCAGATTACAACGGCCGCGTTGGAAGAAGGAAACCATTAATTTCGGAAAAAAAATCGAAAAAAATGTTTGGAATTTGGCCGAAGACACAGTATCAAAACCATTGATTTTTGGAAAAACGTTATTTTTAGTGACGAAACAAAAATTAATCTTTCAGATGGTCGGGATAAGGTTTGGAGGAAAAAAAAATACAGGTACGAAAATCGAAAATGTCTGTCCTACGGTGAAGCATGGTGGAGGTAATGTTTCATTGTGGGGGTGCATGTCAGCTAATGGAAAAAGCAATTTAGCTTTTATTGACGGTATCATGGACCAACATAGCTATTTGAACATCCTAAAGAATAATTTAAACCAAAGGGTTGAAAAACTTAACCTTGAGGGGCGTTATTTATTTCAACAGGATAACAATTCCAAACACGCTGCTGCGCTTGTACGTCACTGGATAATCCATAATGTCTGCCCACAACTTCACATAGAGCATTTGTGGGAAGAATTAAAGCGAGTGAAAAAACATCGTTACATCGTTAAACAAGTTACGAGTAAAGAAGACCTCAAAAATAGGATAAGGGAACAGTCGGAAAACATGTCGCCAGAAGTTTGTTTTAAATCTTCCAAAAAGACTTAATGCTATTAATAAAGCAAATGGCAATGATACAAAATGTTAGACTTTAAGAAACATTTCAATTTATCATAAGAAATAATAGTGTACGGAGCCTTATTTGACATAGTTTCTTGCTTCTAAAACTGCCTTACTTTTTATCGTTCAAATAAAGTGTCTCGCATGATTTTTATTTTATTTTTATTACTCTTAATGAGATTGACGATATTTACTTGAAATATATTTCTCATTAAATGTAAGTGAAAGAGGAAACTAAAAGAAGACTGAAAAAATACTAATAAGTTTGTTCTAGATTAGGGTCCAATCACTAGTTCATTAATACTGATGTCCTGTTTTCATATTATTTCTCAGTTGAACTGCCTGAATACCGCATATTCAATATCACACACCCCCCAACATTTTCTCTCGCAAATAAGGAAACAACTTTTCTCATTACTATGGATTATTTAGAAAGCCAGCAGCGTTTAGTATAACTTAATAAAGTGACGCGTAAACTTCACTTGCCCAACTCTAATAAACATGTAAATTGCGACATGGTGTCATTAAGTAATTAAGTCACCCAGACGTGCTTCTGAAGTTTATGACGCAAAATCGTTAGCTCAATGTCTTCGACGTAAAAATTCCCGGCTCTAAAGACGCGTGGGAGGGAATTGTTAATCGATATTAAGCAATATGTCTATCGCAGAAATGCGGTAATAATGAAACGTTTTGAAAAGACTTTACCGCAGCTCAATTCGAAGGATATTGAAAGCATTTAACTACGTTAACGCCGGCGTACGATGTCAAAGCGACCCTGCGAGGACATTAATAAATTTGATCTATTAAGTAGCTATATTTTATAGCCCAAATTGGTAATTGCCGGAAGAAGTACATTACGCAACAAGCTTGATAAATGCCACTTTAGTCACGGATCGAGTATTTAATAATCCAGTGGGCGAAGAAGTTGTACACTATACTTTATTTGCGACAAATTTGATAGATTTTTGAAAAACTGCACGAAGAATTGACAAACTTTAAAACAACAATAGTGGCTAAAATATGGCATTTTTGTCACTCTGCAGCTTCAGCTACAGCAGAATTTTTTGAACAAATTAAAGGTAATAGTTAAAACTTCTCTATATACTAACACAAAAATTAAAGCCATTAACGCACGTGCTGTAGAAGCTTTAAATTATTCGTTTGGCCTAACCCTAGACCTGAATGAACTTTACAGAGAAATATGTGCTACGCTCAATAAGTAACAGAATATCAGTCTAAAATGTTTCCTCATGGCAAGAAAATAATACCATTAAACCCGAAAAATTCCGAAGAGAATCGGCTAGCTGCTTAAATCAGGACAACATAGACAAGATGGTATCTAACAACTGGTTGAAAGCGGACCTGACCGGCTTCCAGACAGAATGATCCATCCCTACATGAAAGAGAGAAGTGGCAACGTATCAAAATTAATATCAGGATATCAGTAAATCGCAAAGAAAAAGTATATATGGGAAAATTGGTTATAGCCGAAGTGTAGTTTACGTCATATTCGGGATGAGATAAACAATAATAATGTCAATTAAATCATTAAAAACTTGTTTTAGTTTAGTTTAGTTTTAGTTTTAAACCTTCGAAAAGATTTTGTTTCCTGTATATCTCTCGACAACCTGGGCGAATAGAACTTCAGACTTCTTTGACCATGTGTTTTGTTGCTAACTGTAAATATACTAATGAGTTGCTTATTTTTGAGTGGTTTGCAAAAAGATTTATATTCATTCTTTTCTTAAATTTTTTAAAATTGCGTGACAGTACCATTGTCTCATATCCAAAAGATTGCTCTCCGACAATAAAATGTTTGTTGGATAGCATCTATTTTTACGATAAATAATTTTGATAAACCATTTTTAAATATATAATACGACTTTGAACTGAAATCCAATAAAGAATTTTTAATTGTTTGATGTGAAGGAAATCTTTTAAATGCGTAAAGTTTGTCAGAAGCCCTCATAATTTGTTTACTAAATAATTTATACGCGCATCCCAGCGAAGTAAATCGCCAATTTTAATACCTAGATAAGTTATTTATGTCGCTTTTGGTATTTCATAATTATCAGATTTTAAGCTGACTATTTTTGGATTATTTTTTCTAACTTGTCACAATTTGTTATGTTGGTACCAGTTCTCTATTTGTATCTTAACCTCGTGCCAAAATTTTGCTTTACAAAATAAAACTGTCATTTGCAAACACTTATTCTGCCCGCAAGCTGGAGATTTAACGTATCATTTGTATAAATAGTAAAAAGGAGCGGTCCTAGGACAGTGCCTTGGGGTAAACTATACTGATCTCTGGTCACTTAAAGTGCCATCAATACAGACCCGTTGTTTTCTATTATATAAGTAGTATTTTAAATGATTGATTGCTTGGACTGAACTGTAAAACAAACGAAAATTTGAATTCGATAAGTGATTTACAACACCTGCGGATAAGATACTGTCTTAAGGGCGAAATAAAAATTTACTTTTCCCTTTTGTTCGATCGTAACATCCAGATTTACGACGAAAGTTTTGCGACGTTGTAACTTCCACAGATGTAGAAACTCCCATGGGTGGGAGTTACTTTGATATTATTTACGAACTGATCTTCCTTCCCTTCCCTTTCTAATTTATACTCTCGCACCTAGACTACGAATCAATATCAACTATACATTCACGTTGTTGTACGAAACAAGAAGAAAGAAAAGTTAGGTCACAATTTGCTTAGACAATTTCGAGTTCTTCAAAATTTTAACTCGTTACACAAAATTTGGTTTTTGCATTCTCTAACTATTGCAAAAATTGTTTTGGTTAGCTTCAAAAGTCTAGGCAATAACCTATCCATCCTCTTTTCATTTTATTCATGTCTTTGCATTTAATTGTATTTTGCGTCTTTTATTTATCTTTGTCGCTAATAAAATAAGTAATCACAGAGAAAACCAATAAAATATGCTTCTTTACTATAAATCATTTGACGAAAATTGTTTCACCCGTTAATATTGCGCTGTACGTTCCTACAATCAGTGATGAGAAAATTCCACTGTAATTTTGAATCTCCCGCAACGATCTTTATTACAGCGGGTTTTTACGATCAATAAAACACACATACATCAAAATCAATTTCGTACTCGTTATTTTCCCTGACAATCGCAAAATGGTCTGACTAAACAACACCCTCGCTGTTCTATACATTATGTTTGTTGAGCTTTTAGAAAAAAAAGAGGTGTTGGAATAATATACGAAAAGCTCTAAATGATGAATGAAACAGAGAGATCAGACGGATGAAACGGATTGATCTAGATCACCTAGAAATTGGTAAATTAACACTTTGACGTCGAAGCATTAGCAGCACAAGTTTGAAAATTACCATAATATTTTAAGAATGGATGAGAAATTATACCCCACCTCTAATACCATCAATAAATTTGTTTCAAAAAACTCTCAACAATCGTTGTTATTCTGAAATTGACTAAACAGCAGACATTTAACAACAACATCAATTTAATATACTTTTACTTTTCGCCACATATAGAGGGCATTTCATAATTAATGATACAAGGTAAAACTACAGATTCCTTAGGATTTGATCCAGTTTAGTTTAGTCCAAAAAGTGATAATTATCGAGATGCAGTGTGTACAAGTGAAAACAAATTTTTGACTATTCTATTTCATTTGGAACCAATATTTTTGCACGAAATTTTGGTTAGTTTCGTTTATTATCAGATATTACTGACTTAATGGTACTTTTAAAAAGTCCATAAACTAGACACAGAGCATACTTTTTTTTAAATAATGTGAAAAATAATAGTTTTAGTAAAAAGGTAAATATATTAAGAAAACTTATGATTATTATATAATTCTTCACAACCACAAAATTCCAAAATTTCATACAAAAATAATGGAGTTGAGTAGAAAAATCGAAAATTGATTTACACTTGGTCAGTCTGTATCCAGGAATTTTAGGACGCATACAGGCCCGGATCGAGCCCATTATTCCGTCACGATGTTTTGAAAAATTCCACAGCGAAAGTCCACTGGTTGGAAGGAAGGTAAACATCCAGTATAACATCCACCTTTTAAAATGGAATTAAAAATGTTGAAATAAATTCCTCAAGTACTTGCAACTTGTCAAAAAAACTGCTGCAATTTTTATTGATGTTGAATAGCTAAGATCAAGATCTTAAGCTAGACTTGCCGTTTGAGATGTGTAACTATATTATTATTATCAGTCTCAGATTTCTCTGCTTTGCAGGTATTGGTGATGTGATATTGGTAGCGAGGAGCTACTTCCTATCCTACTTCACCTAAGCCCAAAATTTTCTAACAATGTGACGTGTCTGGAGTATTACAGCTTTTTGTGTTATATCAAAGATGTTATTCTGCACGACTAGTTTTCCCAGGTTTTCCTTAAAATTTTTTGTAACAATTCCCTCCGTTGACATAACCAATGAACATATGGTTACTTCGTTAAGACACCAGACTTGTTTTACCTGGATAGCCAGGTCTTAATATTTTCGAACTTTCTCAGCTTCCGTAGATCTCAAATTGTGGGTCAACGGTATGGAAATATCAATGATTGTCCCGCTTTTTACTGTTTAGCAATGAAGAGAATATTTGGCCTATTGTGAGCGACCGTTGTATCTGTTAGTACCGGACGATTATATTTGTAGAATGCTGGAGTATTTTTCGACAAAAGTTCTCATTTCAAACCCAGTTGCTGATGTATGATTTTTGCCAGTTGATTATGCCTTACTAAATAATAATTATTTGCTAGTGCGCTACACCCACCTCATTTCCTATATTTATCAATGGTGTTGATTTTCAATATATGTTTTTCATAATTTCTAGTTCTAATTACCTTGTCTTGTATTACTATTATTATTATTATAGAGTTCTCAATCATTATTCAACTGTACAGCTTACAACAATTTTAATTATTAATGTCTATGTAGTTGTATTCACATCCTAGTGTCCAAGTGAGAAATAGGCTTAATAAAAGTCTATGTCAACCGAAATCATCACTCGATTCTATAGAATTGTGCAGAAACTTGTCCCCAAAAACGATCCTCTTCAAATCTGATCGAATTCTTTTAATATAACCTGGTATTTGTTTATTGGTTCAATTCTATTTTTATCATTATTGTAGAGAATATTTTCAAAGGAACTTGGCTACGTCAGATCACATTTTCTATTTTATGTCCGCTTTCGCAAGTATATGCATTCGCATTCGCATGTGTTTTTATTGACTGTAAAAGAAATCTACATCGGTTTTCAATTTCAGGTAGAATTGCCAAAGCAGCCGCAACTTTCAGCACGGTGGTCGCCGCACAGCAACACCCGCAACGGATGAAACCAATTTTCCCGATATGATATAATTCTCAATTTTTGCTGCTTCCCTTTTTCGATTAGTCGGGACCAATTTCGTGTAAAAGTAATTAAAAAAAAAACCGAATCGGGATCGGTAGGCGCTAAATTTCTGCGCGATATGTGATTGCACCGCTGGAAAGCCAAATCCGTTCGTCTCAGATTCGAAATTGACTTTGGATAAAAGTAAGATTGATGTTTTATTCATACGTTGGAGTGAGAAATGTGGTTACTTACGTTTGACGCAAGTTCGAAAATGTGATTTTGATTTGTTCGATTTTGTAAGTAATCTCACTGCATGAATGTACGACAGCATATATCGAGATAGACCAGCATTTTGAAAAATGTTCCCTCCCAGCTTTAAATGTTTGAAACTATTGCATTCCGTTACTAAATTAAATTGTTCAAAAACTCTTACAGTTCACATACCCAAACAAAGTAAATAAAAATAACTAATTACACAAAAAGATATTACTGTTATAATTAATAATGCATTGCTACTGAGTGTGCAATAAAAATTTGACAATTAATAAATAACAATCTATCATATTTTTAAACAAATGTTTCAGAAGAATTTCTATTTTCTTTTTTAAGTTTTAACACTGATTTTTTGATATTTCCCAAATCTTCGATATCGCATGTGGAAGGTTCTTCCAGGTACTTTAGTGAATATCCTTTATTATATCCTATCTCAGCCTTAAGTTCCATGAAAAGTTATCCACTCCTTCAGCGGACTGTTCTACTTCTATGGCTAGCCCATCCCTGAAGAGGACCATAGTGACATTTTGATTCCATTTAGATCGTTCTTGACGTCATTCCTCACGTATGTGTCTACATTTTTTGGTTCTTGGGAATTCTAACTGAGGATAATACGTCTGTAGTCCATAAGCTCCAAGTCTCGATCTCATGAACGTCTATCGATCCGTAGCCATCCTCCTCTTTCATCTCGTCTGCTGCGTTGTTGTGCTTAAGCATCTTATGAGCTATTACTTGATTCTTCTTACTGTTTCCGGGAAAAGAGGTTTATTCAAATTTAAAATCCTTTTTGGTTGGTTTTGTGAATGAAATGCTAGTACCGAAGCCACCACCAACAAATCCATTTTTGAATGAAATGACGAAATCATCTTTTCATTTCATAAATTATTTCGTGCGAGGTAGGTATTCACTGTTTTTTAAATAAAACGAGTGTATTCTGGTGGTAGTCTTTTCATTCTCATTTATTACAGTTTTATTACGTTTATTACAAGTGCGGTATATTGTTGAGTGTCCAACTGCAATCATATTCCAACACATTTCAACTATTTCTGCACTCATTTTTCCATTTGTAGAAAGCGCAGTTTTACTAATCCTCTTATCTGCAACAAATTCAGAAACTCCAACCATATTCAAGAACGAACGTTGGCTCTAACGTCCGGAAAGTAACTATAATTCTAATTTTAAACACTAAGGCACAATTGATCAACTACCTGTCACTCTCGTGACTTTTGACAATCATCATAGGTATAATACTACGCCTAAAACCACCAAGTTTGGGACACCTAACTTCTGATTCGACTGCAGAAGTGGATTTTTCCATCCTTTGTTTTTGCCTGACGATGAAAACTTAATTGCACGAAACATATACGTTCAAACGCACTTTTTTGTCACTTTCCTGTATTCAAACACCAGAAGTCAGCTCTGAGAAAAACAAGCAAGTAGGCAAAAGCATTTATTAATGCTTTATGCATTATGCGACGATAACAAAAATTGCAGTCACCCAATAAATTCAAATGCAAGTCTCATATTTCATACAAATTACATTTGCGCGTTATAATCCAAAAGGGTAATATTTCGTGTGGGGTAAAACGTAAAAGCCCTTAAACGTTCCAATTTTATCATAAAACACAAGCGTCGAGGTAACCATATTTCGCACCACGTATAAAGTAGTTTTAAGTTCATAAAGCCATCTAGTTTTTCGTAGTTTCTGCTTGGTACACCACGTTGTGTTTTCGAAGGGGGAATTTTTGAAAACACTTATGAAATGAGTTTAAAAATAAAATGAGAAACTTGAGGTTGCTTTATGGAATAGTTGGAAATTGATGCCTATATTATTTGCTGCACTGTCAAAGTTTGAAGGAAACTCCGGAAAATCGTTTGCCGAGAGCATAAAGCGTATTTTATTCAAATAGTTGTTCAGAAATTTACTGCGAAGTTGTTCGGAAACAATTACTTTAACTTCCAGCTCCAATTTTGTGTCCCAACAATTGCCTTTATCGACGTTGTAATTACTATCAAGTTAAGCATTAAATAGTATTTAACTGCAATTTTAGGGAAGTTTTAGTTGCATTAATTGAATTGGCATTACTGACACATTTCTGTCTCGCATAACCCTTATTCGTTTACCAATGACGTTATAATTTTACCACACGTCATTGCTTGCAGTCTTTATAGTCGAATTTCTCATTTATACGGAAAATGAGGTTAGAGTGATCATTAAATCATTAAATCATTAATTAATCATTAAATTAATTTGTAATGGTTTTTGGAAAACACCCGGTTCACTAGGACTTTCAAATGTTTCCTTAACTTACCGTACTTAAATCTAAGGAATTTATAAAATGAAGGTAAATTTTAGCTAACAGGTACGAGGGCAGCGCCAAAATTTCCCGGCCTGAATATGAAAGAAACAAAGTAGAGTAACAATTTTTTATTATTTTTCAATATAATCCGCCTTAACTTCAATACTATTATTACATCTCTTTATTAACAACTCAACCCCTTTAACAAAACAGCCTCTTTTAACTCAACTTCGTCGTTAAACCGCCGTCCACGTAAGTCCTTTTTCAAATGTCCAAACAAATAATAGTCGCTGGGGGCCATATTTGGACTATAGGGAGGATGATCTATCTGTCGGAACCCACACTCTAAAAGGGCAGCTTGTGCAACACCAGCAGTATGGACAGGTGCATTATCGTGCAAAAGACATACGCCTCTGGTCAGTTTTCCTCGACGTTTTACACGTATGCAGTCTCGCAATTTATGTAATAATGTTGCGTAATATTAACCATCGAGAGTGGTAATAGTTTCTTTAAAATCTATCAAAAGAATTCCTTCACAATCCCAAAAGATCGTGGCCATCACCTTTGTTATTGACTGGCGGACTCTGAATTTTCTTGGAGGTGCTTCACTCTTACGACGCCACTTTATTGATTCTTTTTTCGATAGAGGGTCATAATAGAGAACCATAGTTTCATCTCCCGTCACAATAGTTTCTATCACAGGCTTCGGTTTCGACCCACAGAGTTCCAAAAAAGACCGCGCACACTCGACACGGCGGTGGTTTTGAATAACCGAAAGGTTTTTAGGAATCCATCTTGCACTTATGCATACCTAAATGATCATTCAGGATTCGACGAACACTTGTATCAAAAAGCTTAGTAATTTCTGAGATTTCCTTAACCTTTAAACGTCGATCACTCAATACTACCTCTTCCACAATCGCAACAATTTCTTCCGTTACGACCTCCACTGGTCGACCAGTTTTTGAATTATCCTCCAGGAACTCCTGCCCTATTCGAAAACGTTTTGCCCATTCATTCACTACAGAATACGAAGGAGAATTTTGGCCGTACACACCATCCAGCCTTTCTTTAATAATTTTAGGTGCTAACCCTTCTTTTGTCAAAAACTTTATGACTGCTCTATACTCAATTTGCGTTATTTGCGACATTTTTTTGGATAAGTCTTGTTTAATATGCTGTCAATAAAAAACTATTATAAACAAAGTTTTATCGTTATACTGGAGCTGCATCTATGTCAGGCCGGGAAATTTTGGCGCTAACCTCGTAAATATAATTAAAAACTGATATAAATTACCACTTATACAATAGTAGGACACTTTAAATGATGTTTAATAGGTCTAACATTTGATAAAAAAAAATGATATTTGAATTTTGGAATTTCTTGATCACTAAGGCTTCGAGTAAGTTTAATTAGTACCCTTTACGTTTATTTACGTTAATTATTATTTAAGAAAATGTAATCATAGTTTTAATCAATATTTTCAAATATTATATCATGAGATTAAAGGATACAAATAAATTTACTTGAAGCTTTAAATGAGTTAAATAAGGTAACTTAATAACCTATAATGAGGTAACATTCGAAAAAAATTAAAAACAAATAATACCCGATTTTGTTGTGTTGCGGACAGCTATATCGGCAGAGACAAATTTGTGACACTCTGTATGTCGAATGCTTTCAGCGAGTAAGTGGGTTAAGGATTGACTCGTAACGCAACTTAATTTTGAGCGGAATGCGACGCCACCCTTAAACCAACATTCACATTCGCACCCATTCCCGTTTAAATATTTGCATCGACGTCGACTTGGCGTCCAGACAACGTTATTAGTGGCGAGGATGATAATTTGTTTGCAGTTAGCGATGTATCTTTCTTTTTGCAATTTCTGTGACGAGATTAAATATCCCACAAACATTGAATACCGAATAGTAGGAAATAATTCAATTTAAATTGCGCAATAATTAACAAATATGTAAACCTAAAATTATTGATTAATTTAAATGCACAAAGATATTTTTTTAACAAGTAGTATGTATTATAATGAATTTAACATAAAGAAGTTTGGTCGCTTATCTACAGATGGCAGAACAGCTCAATGCATTACAGATTCCTAACTAACCACCTAACGAACAGACGTCATCTGCAGGTGAGCGGCGAAACTTCTCTGATTAATTAGATCTCTGTAATTTTGTTCTCAAAATATAGCGCCGGTGGATGCCGGACGTAGAAGTTGGGTATTTGTACTACTTATGGGGTATATCAAGAAATACAAAAGTTACGGGATTTATTCCGAAAGGCCAGGAATTCTATTGAACTGAATAAGTAAAAAAACAGAATACTACAATTTTAGGTAAATAGATATAATCATAAGACGATAGAGTGAGCTTCAAAATTTATGAGAAAATATTTTTGAATTTCTTTTGAAAGTCTTCAACTTTTTTATTAATAGTAATACATACAACCTAATTGTTTTTCCAATATTTTAATTTTTCTAAAAAAATACTAATTTTCACATTTGCAAAAAAATTACGATAGAGCCATTATTTTTTGTTTGATACTAGCGTTATTCGAAGATGACGCAAAAGATATATGAACGGAATTTGAATTGTATGCCACGGGGTGTTCA